AAATGAGTCATATTTGTGAAACAATAATATTTCTATGACTCATAATCATGAGTCATGTGAAAACCTTTTCTGTGCTAAGCCACATTCGTGACAATCAGAAGACTCCAGGAACAACTTGGGAAGTCCGAGGTCACAATTACAGTAAAAGAAAACACAATTAGAAAGTTAAGACAGCTCAATGACAACCAGCAGCAAACAATCAAAATGGCAAACCTCACATTGGAATCAGTGAGGATATGGTAAAGGACAGCAGATGACAAGTTCACTAGGCTTCTGAAGTCTATGCACTCAGCTGGACGGGAACTATTGAAGCTTAGAGAAAAAGCCTGATAGGACTGATGCATAGGAGGAGAGGAGCTAATATCACGAACGTGTCTTAGCATGAAAAGGTTTTCACATAACTGATAATTATGAGTCATAGGTATGTTATTATGTTTGCACATATGACCACTTTAGTTATACGACCTATTTGTGTTATGATTTGTTATGTTTCACACATGGCTCGATTACGAGTCACTGGACATGCGCCTAGCAAGTGTACCTTACAAGTATGTATTGTGGGTATGCCTTATGCATATGATCTATATTTAGCACATGACCTTGTTATGAGGTCATGGGTTGCACGCATGTAACTACTTTGGATCATATAACCTGTTTATTACATTATGATTTATTTATGGGTTTTCACATATCACCTTACTATAAGGTCATAGGTTTTATGGATGTGACCACTTTGATCATATAATTAGTTTATTATGATTTAGTTTCCTGCATGTGACCACTTGAGGTCACATGACTTGCGGTAGGAAGAGCACTATATAAGGAGGCTAGTACGACTGAGTAGTATAGGCTCTTCATGCTTTGTTCTCAGTAATAGTCCTACTTATTACTTTAATGAATATAAAACACATTTATACTCTTTACCATTATCATAACCTTTATTATTATTACAATAAGAATAACACTACATGAAGGAGAGATTTGAGAAAACTTACAATAGGCATTTCCAATAGAAGACAAAGGTCTTGTACTATCAGTAATATAGGCATAGGCCTGCTGTTATCGTAAGACGAAGAAATGGAACAGAAGCAGAGAGCTTTTGTTCCACATTGCCATGAACTAACTATTTGAGTTAGCATTATTACAAGGCTTATCAACGTAGAAACTTTATCATACCACATATCAGTATGTTTATATAGAGCATAAATTTCTTGGTTTCTGTTTTTGTGCACTTTTCGGGTATGTGGTGGGACCATGGTTGTATAGTAATATTTTAGTGATATGGCCAAAATGCTGTTACTATGGACTGTGTGAGAACGTATTAGACAGGGCTCTATAAGTTGAATTAATCTGCACCAATATTGGTATTAAATTTGTTCTATTCAGGATAATTGAATATGGATACTAATATGTAAAACTTAGTCCACACTACTAGTAGAACAAATTAGTCTTTATATATCCTATACTTTTTAAGCCTAGAGAGTATAATCTGATTATTACAAAATATATTTATTACAAGAACTAATCCTTTTATTGGCTTTTAAATTTTGAATTTTCAATATTTGGTTTTTTTTGTTCTTTTATAGTTGAATAGATTATCACTCAATGTATTTCAAATATATTTGTGATTTGTATAAAAATTGTTACTAACATACTAGAATCCCTAAAACAATAGCAAATAGTATTTGATAGAGTATCTCTTATTATTAAATCTAATTAAGTGATAGTTGATGAAGTAAATTAAAATAGTAATTAAATGATATTCATAGAACTACAAATACTAGTATATCATACTATTGTCTAATGATGAATTCAATGGTTTAAATAGTTCTCATAAGTTCCACTAATGAATTATCTATTATTTTTTTCTCATTATTATTTTTCTTCTTATTTGATGATAGCTTATGTAAATTCAAATTATATTTTATATAAATTTCAATTTCTATCTTCTTCTTTTAATGGTGGTAATGCTGATAGAACTTTTTGTAACTTATTGGAAGTAGGCAATTTAGAGTATTTAGCAGACTCTGAGAGCAATACTGAAAATTTACTTATTACAAACAGGTCATAGTTTGTAAAGGATTTCATATGTTATGATTTTGATTAACAACTTATTTGAGTTATATGATATTATGAATGTTATTAGTATGCATGACCTGATTATAAGTCAAGTAGGTTATACACATAACTTAGATTATAAGTTATAACTATTGTGTTATATTAAGAATATTAGTCAGATAGGAGTGTACCTTGTAAGACCTACGTAGATTGTGTACATATGACCAGTTCAGAGGTTATGGAGGCTATGTGTATGACCTATGATGAGGTTTTAACGACAAAGAACTATGTAGTTATATGAAACCTAGTCACAATCTATATGATACTTAGATTTGTAAGTTAGTGGTAGGAAGGACTATAAAATAAGATAGGTTTAGCCTCTGAGATAGATCTTTATATAACCATATATGTTATTTTCTAGCATATATCTTACAGAATATCATCTCATATTCATATCTCATCTTTGTTCCTACAGGAAAAAAGCTTAGGAAAAGTATAGTAAACGACAGTTGCGGTTTAAGTACTAAAGAAAATACGGTAAATGTCTCATTTGCTATTAATCTTTTCAAAAACCCCCTTCAATATCATAGTATCCTCAGATGCCACAGAATTTAATTATGTAAGTTTTTTAATAATTAATTGTAAAATTTTGATTAAAAGAAATTTTTTACATAGTAGAAAATTCAGAGAAAAAAAGTCTAAGTACATATTTTAGAGAGAATTACACAATGAAAAAGAGATTTACTAGTCATGTAAGTATTGTGTGTGGACAAAATTAACCGCAATTCAACAGAGGAAAATCTTCAGTAATGACAACCACACTCACCCACCAATCCACTATCATGTAAACCAAAAAAAAAAATTAAAAGATGTACATACATAGTAGAAATTAATATTTAGTATACCATCTATCAGCCTTAATAATTGCCTCTAATCTGCCCACCACCGACCCCACCAAAGCACCAAAAACTTTTAGGTCAAGAAGTTCCCAATAATGAGTGATGGCCTCTACTATTACCTTCTTGACCACATTGACATCACTCTTCATAAGATATAGCTCAGGGTAGTGCTTGTAAAGCTTACCTTTTATCAGACATCAAATATTTTCAATTGAATTGAGATCTGGTGAATAGGCAGGAAATTCCATCAGTGTAATTCCCTACCCTCTGAGCTATCTCTTAACATACAAGTGAGTCTTAGTATTGTCCATAATAAAAAATATTTCTTCTTCTCCAGCCTTTTCTCTGATATTCTCCCATATTCCTAGAAAGTCATAATAATCATAGACATTAATAATTGACTTCCTAGTAACTCCACCTCTAGCAGAAGAAGAATCAGGAAAAACAGGCAAAAAAAGGCCATAAGTTTGACTATAAAAACAACCAGTCATCATCTGGCTAATCCCTCTCTCTCCTCTCCTACCCTTAGGTTCAATACAATCCTTATTCCATTTCTCATATGGGTATCTGAAAACACATTTTTTCCTCTTTCCTCTTCCTCTTTCCACAACTACCTCATCCCCCCATATTACCTTCTTTCTCTACATCTCCTTTGTCCAATGCCTATAATCTAATGCCTATTCCAACCTCTCTTGAGCTGGATTCTCATCCAAATAAACTCTCCCTTATACTATCCACTTTCTAAGATGCTTTTTTTCAAGTCTTCTCCTTATTGTCCAACTAGAAACATTGGTAGCAACTTGCTCAGCAATGTCACAAAAGGTAGTATGGTGATTTTTAAGAGCTTCCACTACCACAGCATCATCCTGTGACTTAGTAGTTTTAGGATGTCTTCCTCTACCCTTATTCTCCTTGCCCTCTTAATGTCCCTTTACAATTGTGTCTCTGATAGTAGTACAGGAAATATTAAGGTAGTAGGAAATTTGCTGATATCTCATCTGAGGTTCATGTAACTCCAGAATCCTCCCCCTGGTAAATTCAAAAGCGATGTATGGAGAGAATAGGTTTTTTGGTATGACTGCGAAGAATAGGAGGTATAGTTTATTGAAAAAAAGAATTGAGCAAAATTGCTTCTTCTTGATTAATTTAGAGTAATTTTTTTAGATACTGTTGAGAGTGCAGAGTGATGAAGAGGGGTGGGTTGCCACTGATTGTTGAATCACGGTTAATTTTGTCAACATATAATATCATATTCTTACTTCATATTTTTGATCTATATTATTTTTTCTTCAAGCTTATACTCTGAATCATTTATCATATATTACCTATCATTGTTGATATATTACCTATCATTATTTATTATTACCCTATATTTTCTGATGTGGTAAGCAACCAATTATATCTGTGGTGAAATCTTTTATGTGGTAAAGTGGTTGCCATGGAATGCTGAAGAAAGTGAAAAAAAGGCAAAATTTTTGATGAGGTGAACTGGTTGCTATGCAAGCTCGGTGAAAAAAGCGAAAGAGAAAAAAAGCGAAATTTTGATAGAGTGAAATGGTTGCTATGCAACACTGAGAGAGGGTTAGGGGTATATGCTCTCAACCAATCAACTGGCAGGACAGACACACAAAAGTCAAAAGTACGAATGGGCAGTGTTGCAGTACATATTAGAAAGACGAGATGCTTGAAAGAATCGCAACACCGGGAGAACGAGTAAAGTTATGGTATGATGCCGGCAGTGGAGGGTTAGGTGATGGTTGGCTGGACTAATGGGGAGGACAAGGGCAAGTTGAATGCCTTGAACCACCGGTTTATGAAGAGGAAGTCAATTTTTTGTGCAGTATGATAGATTATGGCACAGGGGGATCAATAAGAAAGGTCGTCGAACAAGTCGTATCATACGATACTGTGCTCGTGTGTGTGATATGATAGCCTCAAAAGTACCTGCTCTGCCCTTCCTGCCCGCTGCTTCCATTTGTGCTCTAACCCTCCCCATTCGTCGCCCCGCTTCCGCCTGTTTACCCCCCCTGCCATCAAGAAGCACATGGCCCATTCCCAGCCACAATGTTGCGCTCATGCTTCACCCATACATGATGCCCATCTCCTCCACCATCATCTGTCAACTCCACCATGACGGGTACGGGTACTTTCGAGCTCGCTTTAATTGACACTTCCTGTCTTGAACCGCCACGCAAGAAACGCAGACTCACCCACGCTGTCGCCCTCGATCTCTTCGATTCACCAAGACCCTCCTCTCCCGAACCCCCCCATGAAAAAACACCCTACCCTCATGGCGGTCGTAAGGGAGGCGACGATAATGATGAAATGATGACGGATGGAATACTCCCAGTGGCGGCGGTCCCCGATGTCATCTCTACCGCCTACGATGACTACGTCTCGACCTTACCGCTAAACATACTTTTCCAGGTGAAGGTTACGAATAATGCTACGGCAAGGGAGGCATTCCCGGATGCACTGCTGGGCCATTCCATACGCTTATACTACCCCGAATACAAGTCATTCGCGCGGTTCATGAGGGAAGGGGTTATTGCCGGGTTACGCTTGGAGAGTGCCCGGGACGTTAGGAATATCAAGATTGTCGCTAGGAAGGCTGGGGAGGTTATTGTGGAATTGGATATCCTTTCGGATGGGGAGGTGTGGGAAAAGGCTATGCGGGAATTGAGGAAAATAGGGATTGGGAAACATGGTGAAGGGGGAAGGAAGATGGCGAGTAGCGTGCGGTTGACACTCGGGTTGAATTATTGGGGGAGGTAGTCTTGATTTTTTCTTTTCCCTTTTTTTCGAATTCACGACGATTATACGAGGAGCTGTGGAGTGCTGTGTGTTCCCAATGGTCTACGGCTTGGAAAGTCCACATCTGTATTTTTACTCGAGCACTCGATAATTGCTTTGATGGTTGAAAACGAGAGTGCTTGTATATATACTCGTATGAGTATATAACCTCCTAGAATTGTACGGCGAGTGCTGCGCCGTGACTGGGGCCTCGGGCAGCGCCAATCGGGGGGGGGGGATCATACTGGCATGCTGCTTGATGGCAAGGCTAGCTCGAGTACTTAGTACGAGCTTGGCGACAAAAGAAACCGACCCCCAAGCCAACGCACGACAAATACCCAACAACAATCAACGCAACCATTGCATAACAAGAAGTGATAAAATCATAAAATAAAATAGAGTGGAGAGTGGAGATAGAGAAGATTAATTTACAGAATTACCAGTGAGTTTGCATGCTATTACATTCTGTCAATTCCACAATTCGCTCAGGCATGCTATCTATATATTGGTTATAATCCACTGGTTGCAGCTTGTTCCACTCTTCTTGGATCTCATTTCTTATTTCATGAATGGTACTGGGGAAGTGAGGTCTAGCTTTGATGTACTGCTTCATGACTCTCCAAATGTTTTTGATAGGATTGAGATCAGGGAAAATCTTTCTTTTTTGACTCTCTCAATACCTGTTTGATCTCATGCTATGGTACTACATCCTTGACATATTGACTCTCAGATGATACTGTAAAATATTCTTTTTCTCCCTGAAATGCTGGTCCTACTATCAATTTTAACTATTTTTCCATATAATCACTACATGTGATTCCCTTCTTGCCTATCACCGGCGTAAAGACTAACTCAGACTTCCAGTTGTACTTGATAGCACACTAGACCTAACTGAAGTCTAGCTACTAGAGAACATATACTGGACACAGTCCTTATGGTAGCACTCACCCTGCTAGTTTGTGACCTATTGTAATATTCCAAAGTCCTTGTTAGTATATAGCATGGGGAATGATACCTTTCCTATATCTATCTTTCTCTCAATAGGTCTTAGGCCATTTAGCATTCATTACCAATACTTGCTTAGATAATGCCAATCTTTATAGCATGTAAGGATATGGCCCTTAGGTTAGTGAGAAATGTAAGAGATAAAGAGTATAAAAATGTCTTATTCTTATAAAGTAATAGGTAAGGAAATTACTTAAAACAATGTATGAAGAGCCTATCCTCCTCAGCCATAGCAGACTCCTTATATAGTGCTCTTCTTGTCAACCCTAACCCTGATGACTCATAACTATGAGTCATGTAAAATCATCGCAATAAGTCATATAAATTGAATGAGTTGTATTTGTGTAACCTACTACTCATATTCAGGTCATGTGCAAAATATAACAAATAATAAAATAAACAAGTCAAATCAATCAAGTGAGTTATACGTGCGAAACCCATGACTCATAATCGAGTCATGTGCTAAAACCGCTTACCTCCATGATACCTATTGAGAACCTCTTTTTGAGGTATTAAAGGTACACTCATCTGAGTACATAGGATAGTGCCACTACTGCTTAGGCTTTTCAATATGATCTGCAGCATGCTGGAGAAAATCTTACTGACATTGCATGGAGATAAACGGCCTTTTACAGGCCTGACAGCATGTATAACCCTTATTTTCTCATACTCGCTGTACAGTCCTATCAGAAATACCGTAATGAGACTTCACGGAGTACTATTACAATTAGCCAAACTTATATCTATACCGGCATCAAAAGACTACCACAGTAGGAATAGTAGTAGACCAGAGTCTACCAAGCTGAGGTTCTGTTGGTTAGGTACTTTAATTGGACCTACTATACCATACTAAGAAGTACACAGGTACTTATAAGCAACAGTGGTTACCCGACTGGTTAGGGTAACTGAAGTAGTCAATTTGAGAGTTATTCTGAATTGCTTAATATTGAGTTCAGGTAGAGTTACCCAACTTTGTAGGGTAACTCAGGATGCTGTTTCGCTACCTTCGGATCAGAGTTACCCCGCCTTTGGCTATGGGCTAACCTGCGATAGAGTCAAGTTACACTACCTTGTAAGTAACGTATTATGGAAGGGTTCAGGGGAAGGTACTTGATTGTTTGTCAAGCGGGACTATATATTGTCTTAGAATCTCAAGTTGTGCGAATCACTCCTGCACAACCAATTAAGCTCTCGACAAGCTGTAACTTACAGCTATAGTGGCTAGGACTCTCCTCAGGCCCAGCTATAAGTCTCTAGTATCATGGGGTACAGCCTGGAGAGTTGCTATAAGCCTAGCAGAAGTCTATAAGTGGAGATGCTAAGGTAACACCGGATGTGCTCACACTGTCTATCAAACTAGAGGCTGTAGGCAGGATATATGTGAGAATACAGGTGAACCCAGAAAATGGTTTCGAGGTATTTTCGTGCAAAACGGACCAGAACTGACTGAGTAATACTACTTTGAAGTTAGAGGTAATATGTGAGGTTACTTGAGGCCTCTAGGTAAGGTAACAGAAGTCCATTGCCCCAAAAATGTAATAGTATTAAAGAGTCATTAAGGGCTCTGAGATACTAGTCTCATGTTACAATAATCTACTTCTAGGAAGGTTGACTGTAGGTAGCATCTATTGATAGTCAACCTTAGAAGGGGTCAATTGAGGAAGCTACGTCACTATAATCCAGAAATATATAGAATAGAGTAGAACCGGATAGATTTTCAGGGGCTGCAGATGCTGGTAGAAGACTAAGTTTATATAGGTAGAGAGTTCCATAGTTAGTATTGCATCCAGTTGAGCATGTCAGCTCACGACTGGCATGTTTGCAATAAAAAGAGTTTTTACTCCTACACGTGCATTGTAGATGTAGTGGCTAAAACACTTCTGTCAGGTGGATTATAGCATATCACAAAGTAGTGTAGTTCACTACGGAGGATCTTTGGTCCAATCTATGGTTGTTGGCTAGACAGCCCAAGGGAGTTGAGTACTCATGAATGCAGAGTAGTGATGGGAAGCCATTGGCAGTATATAAAATCTACTTAAATATATGCGAGTTCTCCTCTACTCTGGCAATCTGTTATGCGGAGACAACTTGATAGACTTCAAGATTATCTAGGCCAATCGAGATTCGTTTCTGTAGACGGAGCTTGTCTAGGAAGGCTCGAACTTTACTCGTTTCGTTTATGACTACTAGGAGCGAAGTAAAATAGGTAAAGTAGGGTAGAATTGTAAAAACAACATTATATTGTTAAGGTCTCTTCTCCGTTGCTTAATGATGTCTAAAGCTTAGGAGGCACTTCGATATTTATATTCCGTGTCTGAGTGTTCGTGGACTACATCTATTTATCATACAACTATGTACTTCTTTAATCGTAATTCGTAACATCAAGTTTTCTTCCAAGGTGCGAACACCTGTGAACCCTAAAAACCATCACACCCTCTTCGGTAATTAAGATATTTCTTCTTAGGAAACGTACTGTCCCCAATAGTAATATCCCAATTACCAGAGTCTTTAGACTTATGGCCTAGTTCTTAAGTCGAACTGAGTTGGCTCCAATTGTCTTCGCCATTGATAAAATGATCAGTTTTATCCACGACTATATCTGTAAAGGTGGTTATCATTACAACAATCGTAGATTGTCTGACTCTGATCCTTTGTAACTCCATACCCAACCGCGAGATTTTCTCTGAAAGACTTCCTATTAACTCGCAGGAAGCTATTCCACCAGATTGGTAATTAATCCCTCGGTCGGCAACCCTTGGTTGCTCTCTGGGTAGTAGGTTTCAGTAACCATTGTAGTATTGAAAATCACCCCATGGTTATGATGTGTTTCGAAACCCAGTTGCAACACTCTGTGAAGTTTGTTGGCTCCTTTGGTAATGCCTTTTTGGAGTTCTAGCCTCTTCTGGTGGATGTAAATGTATTGGTCTCTAGTAGAGATCCTTTACCATTTGATACCATCTCTTTGTGCGAAATCGTCCCGTTACATACGGCCCTTGCCAAAGGTGTCATATTTTTGAAGCCAAGTAAGACTCTGAGTAGTTGACGGAATTGCTCCGTTCCACTTCTCAGACCTAGCCGAAGGTCCCCTCTCATATGCCCTACGAACAGGATCCGGTCGGATAGACAGCGACAACGTATATAGTGTTATTCTAACACCTTTGATTCTGTGGTAATATAGTCACAGGACGCAACTGAGATTGATATATATGATAACGTGCAGGCCCTGTAAGGAAGCGGGAGGGGGGTGTTGGATACCAGAGATTCCGATTCCGAGTGGGGTTACCCTACTTAAGGTGTTTCCTAGGTATCGGATTCTGGTATTCCTAACACAATCTACTACTTCTTGAGATCAGGACTTATTTGTGTAAAGCTGTGGCATAACGATATTAAGTTTTACCGCTTTGTTTCTTCAAACTCTACTGCTGAGACCTTGAAATTTTATTATATTTGTTTCCAGAAGAATTCATTTCAGTGCAGTCGCAACCTTGGGATCCATCTTCCCATAGGGAGCCCCCATTACAGATACTAAGACCTGCTTCCTTCCTCAATCTTGCCTATATGAGTCTTCTGCGCTTTCAACTGCTTCAGAAAATTCTGTTAAGAAGCCAGATATCATATATGTTGAGGGACTGTAGGCGGCCAGAGTGAACTTTGTTGTATCATTCATGTAGATTATAAGACTAGTGTGTAATCATAGATCATGGTACCTCACTTCTGTTTGACATTTCATACTTGGAGAAGCCAACGTCTAGTACAGTGAGGACTCAAGAATGTTTAGGAGTACTCCAGTGAACTTGCAATTTGTCTTGTGGAGTTGGGATAGCCATTAGAGTATGGTTTGAAAATTTTGTGATGGCTTGGCCATAGCTCGGGTCGGTTTCTTTTGTCGCCAAGCTCATACAGTGAGGTGCACTACTAGCAATTGCATAGTGCAGTTTCCCGACATTGGGCTCAAGTGGATGCTAATAAGGCCATAGATTGCCCCATAATCAAGTTTTCTCTCCTCCCTCTCTCTCTCTCTCTACTTGAGTACTCGAGCATGATGATACCGGTACTGGAGTATCATATCATACGAGTACGAGTACGTAAATTACAGTGTATAGTACAATTACCACCTTGGATCCCGAAGGTCACATTCCACACGAATCAGGATCACAACGCTTACCTACCGACCACCTCCGAGCTGGTCACACTCGGCAACCCCAGCGACCCGCCACCGATCACGAGTCCACAACCCCCAAACTTTATAAATCTCCGAACATACACACTACAAGTACTCTACCCTATTTGTCCCCTGTGTGGCCACCCCCAACTCATGAACCTCCAGCTCTCCTCTCGCTCTCCACCCTTGGCGGCCCATCTGTCGATTAACCATGCTCCAAAATGCCTTTTTCAAAATATCCCTAGTCTCCACCGTCTTGTTAAGCGTGGTGGTGAACCCCCTTCCATCTCCAATGCGGGAACAGACACATCTCACCAACCGCCGCAACTCGTCTACCACTCCGATATCCCAGAGCCTATTTGACGAGTTCGAGGAGTTGTCCAGAATTGTAGACATCTCTTACTGTGTTGGCTCACTAAACACCGGTGTCGAACGGCCATTTGAATGCCTTTCATACTGCAAGAACTTTCCAACGTTTGAACTTAGACAGGTTTGGCGCAGTGACCGGTCTTTTACACTATTGCACCCCGCTAACTTGTTCAAGTAGACTTGGAATACTGGTGTAACGCTTCAAGACTCTTGCGGATACGTAGCGCTCTCGCATGCCCCCGCGCTTCCCCGCATCATCGTCGCATTTCGGGGAACGTACTCGATCGCAAACGCTATTGCCGACCTGTCCTTGACGAAGCAGGAGTATGTCCCATATCCATCTAGAGACCGGCAAGAAAAATGTGAAGGATGCCGTGTACATTCCGGATTCTACGAGAGTTGGACCCAGAGCGAGGCTATTATCGGAGATATTGTGGATGAGCTGGTTAGGGAGTATCCGGGGTATAAGCTCACGTTGGTCGGACACTCACTTGGGGGTGCTATTGCTGCGCTCGCCGGATTGGATTTTAGGGGCAGAGGATATAACCCAATAGTTACAACATTTGGAGAACCAAAGGTTGGGAATAGTGCCCTTGCTGGTTTCCTCAATAAGGTTGGTTTTCATAGCTTAAACCTCAAGGGAAACTGATAACTCAGCTGATATTCTGCAGAAATTCACCACTGACACTTACCGCCGGGTCACACACATTCACGATCCGGTCCCTCTTGTCCCCTTGACTCAATGGAATTACTCTCAACATGCCTACGAATACTACATTTCCGCGCCCCAACTCCCCTACACACGGGAAGATATTCATTTGTGTGAGGGGAGTGAAGATGCAAGCTGTGTTGCAGGTGGCAACCCGAATGCCCTACAGTTATTCTGGGCGCATAGAGATTATTTCCATAGGATGGGGTTATGCGTGCCCGAGGATTCTTTCCTGAGGAGGATTAGGCTTTGGGATAGCGTGGCGGAGAATGAATTGTGATTGGACTCCTCGACTTAGTTGTATTTACGGCTCGTCCAGGTTCTGAGGATTCGGGTGAATAGGTGTCAACAGTTCTCTTACGAGGCTGTTTAGGCGGGTATGATTCTTGTACTGGTAGTAGGCGTTTTTTTTTGTAACCTTATGGCGAATAGGTCTATTTTTCCCTGCTCAATTCCGTATCAATTGTGAATCCATACTGGTGCTGTATATTTTATTTTTTTCCTAGTGACCTGTAATTGTATGTCAAAAGGCCAATTAGGCCGTTTGCACCCGTAGGATATGGTGTTTCAGTAGTTGTGGCTGGACGAGCGGTTGCCCGTCTTGAAGCTGATCGAGAGTTGCAAGAACTAAAGCCCCCGAAAAACCTTCTTTCCCTTCATCTTATTCAGAAATCTATTGCCGCCCAAGATCACTGAGCACTCTCATAGGGATTTCAAGGATATCCCCCACCGGACCCGCGCCCCGAACGGGTATGATACCAAGGACAAGGCAAGGGCTTACATAACTCAGCCAGCTCTTCGGTCAAGCCAGAGCCACGAGAAGACACCTTGCAAGTTCCAACTCCTTCTCGCCCCCTTCCTGATAAGAACTCTCCCGTCTCAGCACATTCAGCCTCCTCCCCCCCTTCCTCTTTCCTCCAATTCCTTCAATTCTTCCAAGAAACCTATTTGTCAACCAAAGAGAAGCAGAAGAACAAAAAACAAAATGATCTCTCTCCGCCGGGCATTTGCCCTCGTCGTTCTTGTTGCTGCTACTTCCTTAATCCTGTTCTCCCAGCCTACCGATGCGGCAAGGAGTCCATTGATCACACACAAGGTGTTTTTTGAGATAAAGCATGGCGATCAGGATCTGGGGCGCATTGTATTTGGACTTTATGGGAAGACGGTGCCTAAGGCTCGTGCTCTATCTGTACCGATGTAAGAGGTTTTGACAGGAGTTTTTGGCTAACACTATGGGTTGGGTGCAGACTACTGAGAACTTCCGGTGAGGATTGCATTCTAGGGTGGGGGTCAATGAAGGAAGGTGGAAGCTAATGGTTAATCTTATAGTGCTCTTTGTACTGGCGAGAAGGGCTTTGGATATGAAGGATCAACTTTCCATCGTGTTATCGCGGACTTTATGATTCAGGGCGGTGACTTTACCAATCATGATGGCACTGGTGGAAAGTCTAGTAAGTAGTTCTTTCCGAGTAGTATCTGATGGTATAGGTGCTAACAATTGTGAAAAAGTCTACGGTGGCAAGTTCCCCGACGAGAACTTCAAACTAAAGCACACCCGCCCCGGACTTTTGAGCATGGCAAACGCTGGCAAAGACACCAACGGATCCCAGTTCTTTATTACCACCGTTATCACTTCGTAAGTTCTCTTCTGGATTTTACCGTATCAACGAGCATACTTGAATTCGCGACAATGTTCACGTATAATGTTATAACTTGCCGCTTCACTGCATTCCCTCCAACTGCTCCCGCCTACTCCCCATCCGTACTTTGTATGTACTCGTTAAATCTAAGCTAACGGCTCGTACAGATGGCTCGATGGCCGCCACGTTGTTTTTGGCGAAGTTATTGAAGGTATGGAGATCGTAAGGGCCATCGAGCAGGTCAAGAAGACTCCCGGCAGCGACTCCCCCGCCACGTCCGTAACCATCGCGAAGAGTGGCGAACTCCCCGTTCCAGAAGAAGGTATCCATGTGGAACTTTAAATGCATTTCTACTGCCCTTCCTCACTTCATCTTTTTCTTTCATTGTTGCTATTGCCACGATTCAGGGGGGGGAATGGGACGAAAAAAAAAAAGCCATGAATGAATTACACGGTTACTTAAAAGAACCTTGATATCCCTTTTTTTGTCCTCAAAAGAGACTTGTTATATGCGATTCATTGATTGCCTGGTGGATTTGATATGAAAAAATAAATGCATTACCACTTTATCATTATCATTATCATTATCATTATTATTATACATTATTGGAATCCGCTGATAAATGCTTCCATCTCATAGCCAATGGGGAAGAGGGCTCCACAACCACTGCCCTAGCACCAGCCGGCGCTGAGACTGACACCGAGAAGAAGGGGGAGGAAGCTGCCGATGCTGAGCCCGAGCAGCCAAAGTACGCCGCTGAAGGCCTCGTGGATAGACTCAAGGACGCAGACGTCAACTGGGGATACGCACAGATACTGGTGGGTGCATTGCTGATTGGCGTTGCGGCAGTTTGGTACATTAAGAGGAGGAGTGTTCGCGAGATTAGGAAGCCAATGGAATAAATCGATATATGGTATCATATCATAACGTGGGGGAGCAGGGGGCTTGCAATTGTATGTGTAGTTAAGTTATGCTTGTGGTCGATCGGAATGATATTTATATCCTTTGAGAGGGTTTGGGGGGGCGGTGCTTGGTTTGGAGGGAACTCTGTGTACGTGTGCGTCCGCGTGAGGGGACGTGATGAGAACCACGGTGGGGATACTCGACGCCTAAAATAGTGAGTGAGGTACTGAAATTATGGTGGTTCAAAGCTCTCAACCCACCAACATGCCATTAGGTTGTAGAGGCTAGTGACAAAAATAGTGAGCGGAATCTCATACCGGTAGTAACCTATGTAACAACCCAAACCATGCATGCTACTTCACGCTTTCAGTAAAATACATTCTGAAGCTGCAAAAGGTTTGAAAAATTGATAGTATAGTCCAAGATTCTTTCAAATGTCTCTTCCCAAGTACTCACAGATTGTTAAAAGAATTTTTGGCTACTTTGGCATACGATAGTGTGAAGTTGAAGTTGAAAACAGCGCCAAACCTTGCCGTTTTCCATGCAAAATCGTCAGAAATTAAGCCAAGACCAATGCACCAACCATAGCTCTCTTGATAAACCCTAGCCAGCTTAGATATAGAGTTCTAAAGGGTTGGGAAGTAAAACCTAGGGAATTGTTCTATATATGGGCGAAGGTTTGGTGTGGATTGCTTCGGTGGGTCAGCGGTTTTCTCTAGCGTGAGGGGTATGGTGAGCGCTGTTAAGAAGAGAATCACTGCCGGGTGATCACTGGTGATCCCGATGCTAACCACCTGCGCAGTTGGGATAGGGCCTCCCCCTTCTGAAGTTAATGCATAAGCTACGTGGTGTCGTGTTGGAATGTTTCTCCCGGCATGATGGTGCTATTGGGGGCTGAATTGATAGTACCTGTACTTCACCAGGTGCCAGCCAGGTACAGTGCGTCATTTTGCCACAAGACATATTCCATAGGTATAGTGGTGAGGTTCCTTCCCGAAAGGTCCCTCTCTCGCTCTACGAATATCGTTAGGGTGAACAATGTACGGTACCGATAGTTATTTAGGCAAGGTGGAAAGTAAGTCGCTATTCCAGACTGTGAAGATAATAGGAGAAATATATGTAGGAGGAGCAAGCATTTATAACTCTAACAGGGGGTGCTAGATCCAAGCGGGATAGATGGGCGGTGGATTAAAGTAAGCGAGTGGGTGAACCTTTTATAATGGAAAACATAACGACCTGGACCGGCATCCTCATGAAATCTGCCTAAGGAAATACCTTATCTATGTATCCCGGCCCACGCACACCTCGTTCCAACAGTGGAGGTGCATTACATAAAGTCATCGCTATGACCCGTTAGTGGACGAGACAAAGAAAGGAGGGGCGCACTGACAAGCCATCATAACCCGCCGGCTCTAGGTAATCTGTCGTATCAAACTTATCCGCCTCCTTGCCGGTCGCAAGAGTCGTCTTCCCCTTCGCCGCCTTAGTTTTCTTCCCGCCCTTTTCTGCCGCTTTCTCCTCCCTCTGTCTTTCATTCGCGAGAGTGGTCAACCCACTGGCAACCTTGCGCACCTGCTCAGATGACATGTCCTTCCCCAACTGCCTCACAAACTCCTGCAAGAAAAGCGAGTAATGCGCCTTCTTGCTATTCGCAACAAGCAACGGGACAAGCACCTCCCTAAGCCGCGTGAACTCATCCTTTCCCTTTGGTGCGAACAGCGGCAACGATGACAAATCAATACTCTTCGTGGGATCCTCCGGGTCCCCGGTGGTGATCGGTTTCCCCTTAGTCCCGCCGCTGCCGGCCCCGACGCCCACTGTACCGAACAGGTCCGTTGCGTGCGCTAGGTCCCCTTCAATACGCATTTGCTCCTCGCGAACCCGGCGCTCTGCCGGTGTCTCGTCCTCCATGTTGCTGGATTCGCGCGCAGCGGCGGTGGCTTCCCGCTGTGCGGCGTTCTGGGCTTGTCTTTCGGCGATGCGTTGGGCTTTCGACTTCTTGTTCGCAGCAGCCTCGGCTGCGGCATTTTCGGCTGCGGCCTGTTTGGCTCTGGCCTTTTTGCGCTCCTCTTCTGAGTCTTCAGCATCCCAGGAATCCAGGACCTTTTGTGGGGGAGGTAAGTGTTTGGACTTGAGTGTTAGGAGAGGGGAAGGAGTGTGAGTGAACCTTCTCTTCACTATCTTCGTCATCCCACTTCTTCTTTATGGCTACTCGAGGGGCAATAGGGCCTACCCCCTCTTCCCCCGAGCTAGATTCTTCCTCCCCGCCTATACCAAACATTAGCTCTAA